TGCTCGTCTGCTTCTACCGCCTGTTCTCCTTCCCAGGAGATGCGTCTGACTCTGGACGTGGCGGACGGCTTCAAGGCGAGGGTGCGCATGAAGCTGCCGCCCGGCCTCGTGGAAAATTCTGCCAAGAAGTACCCGATGCTAGTCTATACGTGAGTGAAGCTGTCTGAACGATGTAATACCCCGGATGCTCACTGCACAGCCGTTATCCAGCAACCGTGTGCCCAGTAAGAAGAATTAATCTGAGCTAATAACTGTCCCGTGTGATTAAAACACATCTGTAGGTGCATCCCTCCAAATGACAGTTTAAGAGTAGCACCGGCGCGTTTCGCGCGAGCAGCACATTAATTTTGATTTGGAAACGTCCACCCACCTCCATCCATATCAAACTTGGATATGGATGCCCATTACACACCAACAGGTAGTGCGCAACGGCGCCGGCCGGTCGGCGGCTGGCGTCGACATCGTCTCACACTCCTCCTCTGCCGGTCAGGTACGGCGGGCCGAAGAGCCAGGTGATCGGCGACAGCTGGGGCGTGGCCTGGGACGACCACCTGGTGACCGAGCGCGACATCATCTACGTCAACATCGACGGCCGCGGCTCCGGCTACGGCGGCGACAAGCTGCTCCACTCCATCTACTACCGCATGGGCACCGTCGAGGTCGAGGACCAGATCGCGGTGGCCCGGTGAGGTCCGGGAGTGGATGTCCGGGACACAGTGAGGGCCGATGCCCGATCTGTTTGGTGCGGTTTAGGACGTAATCTCTGTCGCGTGGTGGAGGTTCGACGTTAGGTGCCCGTAGTCCGCCTGAGATTGGAGGTAGAAGGCCATACGCTTGTTCATTCAGCCCGCGCGCAGAGAAGAGCTGGTGGACGCATCGGGAATGTTGAGGACCTTGATTAGCATGTCGTCCTCAATGACGCCATTTTGGAGGAGGAACGCGGCGCCTTCTCCCGCCTGTGGCCGTGTGGAAACAGAGAGCCTTTGCGGACATCGCAAGACCACGTTAATTGTGTTCATTTTTCTTTTTTTTAATCCAACTTAAAGCATCGAAAATCACTTTCGAGCGCGCTTATCGCTTACCACGCAGTTTGTATTGTTGCGCTTTGTTGTTTTTCTTGTCCCAACGCCTCTCACGTGGCACGCGTGCCTGCGTGTCGTGTCCAGACCGGACGGCGACCCTCCGCGAGGGACGCCTGGTGTGCTGACCGCACCTGGCGGCCATCCGCAGGAAGCTGTTGGACCTGTACAAGTTCATCGACGCCAATCGGACGGCGATCTGGGGCTGGTCGTACGGCGGCTACGTCACGGCCCGCGTCATGGCCACCGACACCGACCAGGTGTTCAAGTGCGGCATGTCCGTGGCGCCCGTCACCAACTGGATCTACTATGGTACGCCGCCCGGCCGGGGTCGGTGTCTGCCCGGTGGGAGTGCGGGGCGCCGAACAGGGCCTCTTGTGCGTGCGACGGGGCTCTCCTTGTGGCATGGAACAGGGCTTTCCTTGTGGCGTGGGACAGGGCTCCCCTTGTGCGTCGAACGGGGCTTTCCTTGTGGATGGGACTGGGCGTTTCCTGTGCGCGGGACAGGGTGCTCCTGGACGGAGTTATCCCGCACATGTTTTGGGATGAATCCAAGTGGCAAGTTTCGGTTGAGTAGCGTGGTGAGGGTCACATGGACGTTTATTCGGCAGCCATTGTGGGCGCTAACATGGGATCTAATTCCCAGAAATAGAGGGATATGATTCCAGGCAGCATTGTGGGATCATCAGATGCGGGGGTTGTAGTTTCGCAAAATCGATTTGCGGAGGAAGGAGCACTCAGCCCAGAGCTCTGTGACCTGGGTACCCACAGATGTAGGCATAGATTCTTCACGAGCTTGCGCTACCTTGTTTTATCATTTGGAGAAAATCGTAGCGTGGAGTGATTTTTTAATTTTCATGGCATATTTAGGAGCCATGTGAGAGAAAAGACTCACAAACAGATCTTGTCCTTGCGTATAACATTCGCGCACTTTGCTTTCCTTGCTGCTGTTTGCACATTTGACACACTCCATTGAAGTATGGTGCTTAAGCTTAGAAGGACCTGCTGCCTAGGGGAGCTCAGTCTGCCAGCTGCGGTGGGGGGGGGGGGGGGGGGTGGAGCGTCAGCTTGCAAGTTGGGAGGGCTCGGATGCTAGATGAGACTCTACACACGCCCCAACGGAACAAATCCCGCGTTCCGCACTGAACACCCTGACAGATAACAAGAGCGACGCATCAACACTTACGGTGTGAAGGGAACGATCAGTGGATGAAGTCTTGTCAGGAACGTCGCGCAATAACGGCCACAGGGGACCGGGAGCCTAGCTCCGCCCGTCTCTCCCGTGACCGCGGCCTTGTGCCCTGACCGCCCCCGCGCCCCCGCGCCAGACACATCTACACGGAGCGGTAATGGGTCTGCCCGACGCCGGAGGATAACGCCCGAGGCTACGCCGCCGGCGGACGTGTCCGGCAACGCTGCAGAACTTCCGCAACAAGCAGTACTGCTGATCCACGGCACGGCCGACGACAACGTACACTACCAGCAGTCCATGATGCTGTTCGCGCTCGCTGGAGCTGGCCGACATCTTCTTCATGCAGCAGGTTGGACCCGACGCTGCTGAGCGCATGGGACCGTTTGTTGGCACTGAGTTTCAAGGACCGTGGAATCTGAACTTCATGGCGTAACTGTAGAAATCAAATTCTCTTGCACTTTGTTCGGTTATGATCGCCTGTATGATGACCCGGTCGCAGCACCAGAGGGCGCACGTAATCCATTCACCGGCGGTGGCTGCAGTGTGTCGCCATCGCGTCGTGCCGATGGCGCTGATTGCAACACCTGCGCGCCGATGGTGCTGATTGCAACACCTGCGTGGCCGATGGTGCTGATTGCAACACCTGCGTGCCGATGGTGCTGACTGCAACACCTGCGTCGCCGACGGTGTTGATTGTAGCACCTGCGTGCCGATTGCAACACCTGCGCATGCGCGTTTCAGACGTATCCGGACGAGAACCACGCCCTGGGGGGCATCCGGCGTCACCACTACCACACGATGGAGCACTTCTTGGAGACCTGCTTCCAGCTGCCGCACATGCCGTTCGGACGCCCGGCTGCGGCGACGGGCCGCAGGGGGGCGTGAGCCGCCCCCATCTAGACCATTCCGGGCGCCCGCGGTGCCCTCGGTGTGCGCGTGTGGATGTCTCCCAGTGCTGTCCAGCGGTCTGACGAGGCCGGGCAAGACTGCCCGCACTGCGCTGACAGCGACCACGTGGCCAAAGTGAACGGTGTTGGTGTCCTGTGGCCGGCTGGGGGCGGAGCCCGAGCGTAGTCTGTGACTTTGAACGTGCGGACGGACGCTGGACCATTCCGCCGGTCCGCCGGACTCGACGGCGGACCGGCCGGCGGTCCGCGGTCCGAAGCCCGCGCCTCAAGGCCGTCGTCGGATCCGATCTGGCAGCCCGCCGCGGATCTGGCAGCCCGACGGTGCCGTGTGGCGCGGGCTGAGCCGCCGCTGGTCCGCCGCTGAGCGGGACTGGTGGCTGGCTCCCGGCTGGCTTACCTAGCTGGTGATGCCAATTAGAGGATCAAACCGTGGCGGAAATTCTGCAGGGACGGCGTGGAACACCCTTGAAGCGGAGGAATTATGGATCTTGCTACCTTACTACGCTTTGACAGATCTGATGCACTGTTCCCAATACACATTTTACGGACCTTATGTCAGTGATGCAGTCAAAACGTTCTTGCCAAGACATGACTGAGCAAATGTATTATCGACCTGTTCGTGACCTATAAACTGGTTTGCGCAGGAGTACTTCTACCGTGTGGGCAGAATTTAGGTGGGTGGATCGGAGCCACGCAAATGTTCTCTGTGAAGGTCGTCTCGCATCGCTGCCCGGGGCTTGGGCCAAGCTATTTTTTACGCTATAGCTGAAAGCCATTACAGGCAGCGTGAATCGTACAGCAACGTAGCCTCTAACCCGTTGGAATCTCTCCTTCCTCTCGTCTGCCCAGAACAAAACACGCGCTTCATTGCGTGTTCGCCGCGAGGTCACTGGGCCTGTGCACCCGCTGTGGTTTACGGAATGTACTGATTCATGAAATCTTTCTGCAACGGGATTTCGCGACATTCGGAGGATCGCAGTCGGCGACGACGATGTCCTTCGGCAGACGCTTGTTCTCTTGCGGCGACGTTTATGAAGTTGGCACGCTTTGTCCGTGTGTAAGAATGTCCTTTCTTTGTGGTTTGTGCGTGCCGGCTGACAGGGTTTCAATCGGGAATCCCATTCCAATCAGTGTTCGGTGTTCCGTATGGTGTCCCTTACCACGAATGCCGCGTCACAAACATTCCATTCCGAGCGCACTGGACGGCCAGTGATTGGCATGTTGTGTTCGCTTCTCCGAGCGCCCCACTGGGTGGGAGGCTGCGGCCGAGTGAGCGTCAGGGGCCGCGGCAGCAGGCCGGGAGGCCGGCCGACAACATGCCAAGCATGCTCTGCAGGACGATCCGCCGCGGTGTTCCGTTACAAATGGTCTGGGGTTCAGGCGAAGGTGTCGTGGTAACTGCTGAGGCGCTGCGGCGAAGTGATGGGATGGTGCGCCGCGTGAAGCGCGATGTCTGCAGCTCGTCACCAGACGTTAGCATGACCTGCCCCAAGGGCTTGTTGCCAGTCCGTGGTTATCAAGCGTCGCACGTGCACAGCCGGGTTAAAATCATGCCGTACCGCAATTTGTTTGAAAGCTGTGGTTGATTCACATCCTGCGATGAAAAGGCGCCGCTCCTCAGGCGAAGTACCGACCGAACTGTCAGACAGCTACCCAGCGACAATGGAGACAACCGTTAACGCTGTAGCCAGCAACATGCCATTTTGATACCACAGTCGCTTGCGTGCACGACGATGATAGGATTGTTCTCAATGTGTTTTTATTGTGCATTGTACGTATAAAATGTGTGATCCTGGCTCTGATAATATATATCTATGGGAATGAGCCAACCGTGTGTACGTTACATTTAAGAATGCACAAAAAGATAAAACACTAGTATTACAGCTATATTCTGCACGAATCGTCCCACCAAAAAGTGAGACGCCACATCCCCCTGCGTCACCAACCACACTAATAAATACGAGCGCACGCAACAGTGCCCAAAAAATAGACTTCATCATGGCCAACATAAAGGCTAGCGTCCTAACAGAGATCTTGGTCGCAGGCCCGTCCGCCAGCCACCGCCCTCCATCGGGGCTCGCCAGCGCACTCACAACTCAATCCAGCCCCAAACTAGCGGCATGATCACGGGCAACGATGCAGTCCATACCTCAGGCGGCTCAGCGCTGGCGCAAGTCAACCGCCATGGGGACGAGGAAATGCCAGGACAACAGCCGTGGCCGAGCCGACGACTTCCCGCGAGCGGTCGATGGCACACGCACTTCCAGCTGGCCTCCCCTTTAGATTCGTGCAACGCCGGCACCTCCGTCGAGCCACCAGTAGAGGTCGTACCGCCCTGGTAGCCGGCATGGTCCGCGCCACGCCTCGCCGAGGGAGGCGCACGTGGTGAAGAACTTCGCCGCCCCGACGTGGGCGTGTAAGGAAACGAGCGCCACCCGCGCGGGAGGCACTCGGTAATGGATTGAAGACGCCAAGGCGGCAGCATCATTTTCTTCTTGTCTATTGCTGGCAGCAGCTAACCATCACTTGCTTGCACGTTTTTGTTCCAACTTTGTCATGATGAAGTTGGCCAGAGTACATCACTGAATCGAAATATCTTCAACAAATTCGACGTTCGACGACACTTCTTGTCGTTAAAAGTCATGAAAGCTTGTCGGAAACACCAAGATCAAACTTTCGCTTTAACTTCTTCGCAAGCGACCTTTTCGTAAAGCTGTTTGACGGTGACGCGACCTCCAACACTGAGGTACTTCCCGAATCATTGATGGGACAAGCACGAACGGTCGGGCCGATCCCGTCGACTGAACCGGTGCCAAGTCGCAACCGCCTCCTCCGGCCCTCATTACACCGGCCCTTGAGACACCATGCTGAAGCTCCTGCCATAGTGTCGGCTCCCCTCCACAGAGCCTTCAGATCGCACAGCCGACATCGCGTGTCTCCATGAGCTGAGCTGACTCTTCCGGACGTCGCCCCATCTCCACCGGGCCCATACCTCGAGCCCTGCCCGTCGCCGCTCCACACCTGCCAAGGGCGCCCAGCTGTGTGGTCCGCCCACCTCGGCCACGACCCCGCGTCTGAACGGGCCGCAGGGCGGCGCCACTGCTGCGGCCGATCGGCCTCTTCAGTGCGCCTGACGCGCGCGCCGGACCGCCCGCCGCCAGAGACGGACGCCGCCGCCGCTGCTCACGTCGCCGGATGGTGCGGCCGCTCCGTCGGTTCGAACACGACTCCCGCGTCCGCCAGCGCCGGCCGCGCCAGCTGACTGCCGTCTTCGGCTGCGGCCTGCCGCGGCACGGAGGCCGGTCAGCCGGGCCGCCGCCGCTCACGTCGCCGGCTGGTGCTGCCGCTCCGTCGGCTCGAACACGACTCCCGCGTCCGCCAGCGCCGGCCGCGCCAGCTGACTGCCGTCCTCGGCTGCGGCCTGCCGCGGCACGGAGGCCGGTCAGGGCGGGCCGGCGACGCCACGGGGCCGGCCACGGCACCGCGCCGCGAGGGCGGCGACAAACCACGGGTTGCCGCAGCACGGGTGGGGCACGTATGACGTGTAGGTCGGAAGGGATGTCTGTACGAATGGGACGAATGGGATGCACGGTACACAGCGAGGACAGCGAAGGTCAGTAACGACGGCCAAGTGATGAGTCGTGAACGAACGCGAACGCGTCGTGCACCTGGCGTATAGCCCTTATCTACCACATCCCCATACGCACACACACACGCAGCAGTGCGGCGGGCGCCTACGTGACAGCTCAGTTACACTAAGACTAACCAACCCTATCGGATCTCAACACCGAGTGTACACCAGGCTCCACTCCTGACGAGCCTGGGCCCTCCTCCACAGCCGAGCCAGTTCGGCCCCAGCCGGGGCGCATGGCGGCGCCGTCCCGCCCCGTCGGCGCTCACCTGGCCCTCCGCCGGCTCCACGACGGCCTGGTTGATGATGTAGTCATCGGGCCCGGCGCCGTGGCGCAGCTCGGCCATGTGCGCCAGCAGCTGCGGCCGCCGCATGTAGCCGCAGCCGCACACCTGGAGAGGGAGCGGCCGGGCGGCGGGCGGTCACGGCAACGCCGACGTCAGCGTGTAGAGGCGCATGACGCAGCCGTCGCGTGTTGATAGAACTGCTTGCCTAGAAGGCGAGCGACATTGCCGTCGCACGTTGACAGAACTGTCAGCTGAGCCCGGGGTCAACCGGACGTCAGGCCGTTACGAACAGTAAGCTTATTGCTCCATAGCAGCGCATCCCGCAGCAGTTACGCGCCGAGAGCGCTGACAGCGGCGCGACACGGTGCAGCAGAGATCCCAAAACGACCGCCAGCGGGCCGCACGCAGACCACGCGCCCACACACTCACCCGACACTCGAACGGCCTCTTGTCCGAGTGGGTGAACATGTGCGCGTTGCAGCGCTCGCGGCTGACGAAGGCGCGGCCGCACACGCCGCAGCGGTACGGCCGGTCGGCGCTGTGTCGCTTGGCGTGACTGCGCAGCTGCTGCTCCGAGACGAACGACGCGTCGCACTCGGTGCAGCGCGCCGGCCGCTCGCCTGCCGCCGCGGCCGGGTCGGGGCCTGGTCAGTCACGGCCAGCCGGGCGCAGCGCGCGGCTCGTGTGGAGCAGGAGGTGGTGAGACGCAGGGCGCGAGACAAGGGTGCGGGGCCCGGATGGCGGGGGCGTCGACTGCACAAGGGTAGCCTAACGTACACAAGGTGACTTATCACAACATCGCAGCAAACCATACACATCACATATGGCAGGAGTCACAGACAGCAAAGCAGGGCTTCGCGGCGAAGGTGATGGTCACACATGGGTGACAGAAGTCAGAATAGGTGACCAGCACCTTCGCCCTCACGGCGAAGATGCTGGTCACACATGGGTGACAGAAGTCAGGACACAGCCCCTCACGGCGAAGGCGATGGTTACACATGGGTGGCAGAAGTCAGGATACAGTCCCTCACGGCAAAGATGATGGTCACACATGGGTGGCAGAAGTCAGGATACAGTCCCTCACGGTAAAGATGATGGTCACACATGGGTGGCAGAAGTCAGGATACAGTCCCTCACGGCAAAGATGATGGTCACACATGGGTGGCAGAAGTCAGGATACAGTCCCTCACGGTAAAGATGATGGTCACACATGGGTGGCAGAAGTCAGGATACAGTCCCTCACGGCAAAGATGATGGTCACACATGGGTGGCAGAAGTCAGGATACAGTCCCTCACGGCAAAGATGATGGTCACACATGGGTGGCAGAAGTCAGGATACAGTCCCTCACGGGAAAGATGATGGTCACACATGGGTGGCAGAAGTCAGGATACAGTCCCTCACGGCAAGAGTGATGGTCACACATGGGTGGCAGAAGTCAGGATACAGTCCCTCACGGCAAAGATGATGGTCACACATGGGTGGCAGAAGTCAGGACACAGTCCCTCACGGCAAAGATGATGGTCACACATGGGTGGCAGAAGTCAGGATACAGTCCCTCACGGCAAAGATGATGGTCACACATGGGTGGCAGAAGTCAGGATATAGTCCCTCACGGCGAAGGCGATGGCCACACATGGGTGACAGAAGCCATGAGACATTCACACACAGCTTAAACAACACGTACATCACAACAACACGTACAACAGCACGTAATCGCAGGCCACATGGGACGGGAGACAGCGGTAGTCACGTTCGTCCCACATAGGGCAGGAGACTGCTACACCTGGATTCCACAGGACAGAGGACACGGACGTGTGAGAAGTCAACCGCACCTGGCTCTCACAAAGCGGGGGAAATCCCGTCCAGTTTGATCAACTCGTGACACAAGAACAGATTCCCGTTCCCAAGCCATCAGCGTTCAATGCATCAAGGCTGACATCAACTGAACTTTGCGAGCAAGGCCACCAGGGCAGCGGTATTAAAAACATTCGCGTCAGACTGCAAGATAAAACAAGAAGTATTAGAAACAAGAACCAGAGCGATTGTTACCCTAACTAAATGTTTGGTGCAACATAGCTATGCACACGACAAAAACATGGAACTTGCCACTGATCATTAGAAACACATTTCAACCAAAAGGAAAGTGATGAAAAAATGACTATCTGGTAAACACTAAATGAAATGCGACGCAAACAACAACGATACGGACACGAGCATGGGAGCGGTAACAGCAGCCCGGACAAGTGCCCCTCCCCCTCCCCCCAAACACGCCAAGAATTCCCATGGAGCACTGGCACGGCGTACCCTTTTCGACAGGGAAAGGCCATCTCCACAAATTATCCGGTCCCCACACCGGTGCAGGCCAGGCTGTGTCGGCGTTGGCGAAGGAGACGAAACATGGCGGCGACATTAAACAATGATTACGAATCACTAAATATGGTCAGCGATTGTTCAAACGGCAGGCAGAAACGATATAGACGGAAGGCCTGGTCACCTGCTGAGACAACACACAACGCACAATGACCTGCCTTTTCATCCATCACAAGCACAGCAAGTGATGCGCACTGGAATAAAATCCCCCCAGCAACGGGTAAAAAACGCTTCCTGCTGTGCCGACGTACATCCATCTGGGTATACCGACCGGTATGGACAGCCTTGTGGTGGAACTCCAACAACTGCTTCCTCTTGAAGGTCTTGCTGCAGACTGTGCACTCGAAGGGCCGCTCGTTGAAGTGCACAGCGCTCTTGTGAGATGACAGGTTGGAACGCTGAGCAAATCTGGAGAGGATTGAAGCAGCGTTACGCCCTTTCACGAAGTGACGAGAATTGCACCACAGTGTTACGCCCTATCAAAATCTGACGAGAACTGACACAAGGCGTTACGCCCTATCACGATCTGACGAGAACCAAAACAATGTGTGACGCCCTAAAACGGTCTGCATGATCTGCCGCTCGGCCAAGGTTTAACAGACGCTTCGCCTCCACGCCCAGCAGGGCGTGTTCCGCCCCGCCAGCCGTGGCGCGCGCGCTTGCCCGCTGGCATGCCAGCCGTCTACACCGACGCCACCCGAGCGCGGGCGCCGACCGTTTCCAGCGGGCGGCCCCACCACAGAGCAGGGCCGCCGACTCGCGCGCCGCGCTCGAAACTGACCCGACGCCGCAGTGCTCGCAGATGTACGGCTTCTCCCCGGTGTGGGTGCGCGCGTGGTCTTCCAGCATCGACTTCTTGGTGAACGTCTTCTGACAGACGGCGCACGAATGAAGATTCTCGCCGGAGTGGCTCATCTGTCGAGAGATTCGTGTCACCGTAGTCCAGCACGCGCCAGACATTATTTTGTAATATCTGTACGGCGTCTGTGCCATTGCCTTCCATATTCGAATGCTCTCCAGTTTCCTCAACCCACAAAAGCATATATCAACATAATTTTTTTAAAAATCTTAACACGGAGCGCCAATAAGATGAACACCAGGCCCATCACATCACCAGACCACACGCTGTGCGACCACAGCGGGGGCACAGCCGACCGGACGTCGCCGTAAGAGCTCCGTGGCGGCCCGTCCTTCTAAAGCGACAAACAAGGCACAAACCACACGCTGTGCGGCCACAGCGGGGGCACAGCCGCCTGGACATCGCCGTGAGGGCTCCGTGGCGGCCCGCCCTTCTAAAGCGACAAACAAGGCAGACTACCAAACACCGTTTACGCCACTCGTTGACCCACTCCCTGGCGGCCTCGACGGTGCGCCACGTTTACGTCACTGCGGCGGCTGACCTCGTGTTTTCGGAGCCGCTTCTCGGACTTGAAGAGCAGCGGACAGTGCGAACAGGTGAGCTCGGTGCGCCGGTGGCGGCGCGCGTGCGCGGCCAGGTTGAGCGCCGAGAGGAACGTCTTCGGACACTGCGGACACTGGTGCGGCCGCGGCCGGCGCGTGTGGGTCTTCTGGTGCTGCCGCCACACCGCCTTCTTGGTGAAGCTCTTACGGCACCTGGGGTAACAAGCGCACCGTTTGCGCGTCAGACCGTGGGCGTGCTGAGATGGTACGGCATGCGCATATTTAGCACTTCAAACGAACCGATGTCGTGCGGCCTCCAATGATTACCACTGACGGTTCGATGGCGGCCACGGCAGACAAATGTTGCAACTGAACCAGCATTTCTTACAAACGCTCACGGACACAGTGACCTCAACACCGTCACAAGACACGACCCTGCCACCGGGCACGGCGCCGGCTGACGAGCCAGACGCACGGCCGCGGGCGGCACTGACCGGTTGCAGTGGAACGGCCGCTGGTCGGTGTGCACCATCTGGTGGGCAGCCAGGTCCTCGGGCCGGCGGAACGTGCGCCGACAGTGCGCGCACGGCAACCGCAGCCGGTGCGCCTCGTCCTTGTGGCGCTGCAGGAAGCGGGGCGTGGCGAACGTGCGCTCGCACTGGCCGCAGCCGTACGGCCGCAGCTCGGAGGCCGCGTGCTGCGCCGTCTCGTGCTCGTACAGCGCGTTGCGCGCCATGAACGCCAGCGGGCAGAGCAGGCAGAAGTAGACCTTCTTGGCCTGGTGTGCGCGCATGTGCTCGCGGCAGTCGGCGCGCTCGTCGAACGTGCGCTGGCAGACGGCGCACTGGGAGTCTTGCTCATGGCGCACGTACGTCGGTGGCGGGTCAGCTGGCGGCGGGTCGGCCAGCGGCGGCGTGCGCTCGCGCTCCTCCGCAGCATCCTGCTCAGGCTCTGGTTCTGGTTTGACAGTGGTGCTCTCTGTGTGGCAGGCCGACTCGACGGGGGCGCGCTCCACGCTGACAAACGTCGGCTCGCCTTCGCTGGGGCAGATCTCGATGCTGATGACGGCTGAGTGGGTGGCATCATCCGCTGCTGCCGGCCGCCGCGACGCGATGTAGTTCTGGCTCTCCTGCAGTGGTGGCAGCGAAGACGCGTGCCGGTGGCCACGGGCAGCGCGGAACACTCTGAGTTTAGAGACTGACTGGGGATCGGGGACGACTTTTGCAGATGGGGTTACATCAGGGCGGCAGGCAGCATCAAGGCGAGACACCAGGCATTTTGCCAGCATGGATGCCTTGGCTTGCAATTGCTCCACATTGATCACCAGGTGGCAGCACGGCCGACAGAGTGTGTCTGAGCCAGTGGGCAGGCGGCGTTCCAGTGGCAGCAGAATGGCTTCAATGGCTGCCTGCAATGTCTTCCCAAGACTGGTCTTCAATAGGCCATGCATTGCTACCTCCATGGGTTGGTCTGGAGAATTTCTCCCATGTGAAGCTTGTTCTGAAGCAATAGTTGTATCCCCACTGTTGTGACCTTCAGAACCAAACAAATGGGTGCCCACAGATGCTATCCCGGAGTGAAGCCTGGTGGATGAAGCTGGGTCCACCTCCTTCCAGCATATGACACAGTGTAGTGTGTACACATCCTTATTAGGTTCCATCATTTCTTGAGCAGCACAAGATTGCATGATCATAACTCTCCCATCTTCCAGGTTCTTATCGTTCTTCCATCATCCAACAAGGCTGAACTGCAAGCATATCACTCAGAAGTGTTGAACAACACCCACATTGCGTCGAAATTTAGGATTCACACAGCAATATACATTAACCCAGAGCTTGGAGTTCCCAATCACACAGCGCCGCACCGGCAGGAACAACATCACGGGCTCACAAATGGCTTCATAGCTGCCTCATGCAGCCGCAATTTCACACCCACCCACTCTAAACAGGTGCACCACCACACCACAAGCACACAAACGAAACTGCGGCAAGCAGTTTGGGCGAAGGCTAAGTGAGCAATATTTTGGCTTTGGAGGTGTACCATGCGATCGGCTGATTGTGAACTATGACGTCATTGATAACACGACGCTGTATGTTCTAAATAGATATGTCGTGGACTATGTTCCATATTTTGAGAAACGCTGCTTAACTTCTTGTATGGTACCAAACAGGTCATTTTCATCGCCACCCAACCGATTATTTATTTGTTTATTATGAACCTGTCAGCAGTTCAAATTGGTTCTGTAAAGCTGCGCTAGAAGGACAAAACTAGCGTGCATGGTCATCAATTACCATGTGTTCGCGTCAGCGCTCGACTCGGTCCTACAACTTTGGGTGCCGTGGGTGGTACAGCGGGTGGGCTTCTTAGGCAGGCGCCTCATTGCTGGTCGTAAGCAATCGGTGCATACAGACTTCGTGATCACGGTCACCATGGAAGTTATAGGGCGTTATCCTGTCCACATTGAGGACGAGTCTGATTCGGATGCGGAAGTTTTCTCTGCACCAAAACAGCAAGTTGCAGTAGCAGTCCCAAAAAGTCTCAATGGTTGTACTGCAAGGAGTGTTGTGCCCAGCTTAGGCCAGAACAATGGTGGGTATATTTCAGCGTGCTTTTTGCTGGCTAAGATGGACATTTGTACCCGACTAAATGAACAGAATGTAAGAAATCATTATGACAAATGTCATATGTACCTATACTGTGCTGGCTGAGGTGGATATTTGTACCCAACTTGATATGGAAAGTATGTAAAAAATCATCCTGTATGACAAACCCCATCATTGGTAGCAAAGTGAGCATATTATTTGTTCATCATATTCTTGCCTTCATAATTTAGTAACAACTAGGCACAGCTGTTGGTCTCTAACACTGTTGCACAATTCTGATGCATCAAATTTGTTCTTAGGGTGATGTACACCTTCTTTGAGTCAAAAAATGTTGTCAATGATAAAAATGAAATATTGGATCATTTTACCTTAAAAAGATGATAGCAATTTTACAACACACGTGGTGTAGGTGCATGGGCTCAATGCTGCATCTTTCAAATCATTTGTGACACAACATGGAAACAAAATGAATAGGTTACACCAGTGGCCCATTAACAAAGGCCTGATGCCACCACTCATGGGCAGGGCTGGCCATGTTTGTCTCAGAATGTACACTGTGCATGTGACAAGTGCATCAGTTTTATCTCCTGAACTGAATTACCCCTCATAAATTAACCCTCATAATAACCATAAATAACCTCATATTGTGATAACAGATTACAGAAGGCCTTTTGGGGGATATCTTACAGTGAATGCAGTTTGAGTCCTCTGGCTATAATAGCCTGTAATGCACTTGTTAAACCAGGATTACAAAACTTGACCTGGCCAAAGGCTTCATTTCACTTTGCTTGACCAAATTCAAATGATCTTTGAGCTCTCAGACATAAAACATCATGCAAGAGAACTGATGCACGCAATCAAAGCATGAGCTCCTCTGTGACTGGCACCTCTGACTATAGGTCAGCTCTGCTTACCAATGGCATGGTCTGCCTATTGGTCAGCTATCCAGAGCCAGGTGGCACTGATACTATGCAGTCGCACTGGCCACCAGTGGCCGCCAGCTGGCTGTAAACATGCAGTCCACCAACCTCCTCTATGCCCTCCCATCAGGATCCGTCACTTAAAAGGTGCTGATTTTGGGCAGGAATAGCTCCTCGCCTTAGCCACACAGAATCAGTGAAAGTGCATGGATAGTTCCACTTTACAACCACAGCATAAGACCATGGAATTGCAAACGGCGTGAATCCGCTGCATGGAACCGTGCGTCCAGCTTCTGCCCTGGCTGGTCCCGGTTCGCCGGTGGCCGCCGTCACATTCTCCGCCGCGCAGTCCGCCGTCGCCGGCTAGCTCGCCGCCGTCGGCGCATTCTTCCATCGCTGTGGGGGAGAGGGACACTGCTGACCGTCTCGGCGATTTCGCGGCCAGCCGCGCCCGCAGATCTACTGTCGACTACGGGCGCACGTGCCGCAGATCGCGTCGCGGGACATCGATGGCGTCGTGGATCTGATCACCTGGTCAGATCCGTTCTGATCTGAACGGATCTGATCTGATCGTCGCTGCTGATCACCCGACGTTGTGGTTACAGCCCCGTCCACAGTGGTTCGTCCTTGGGCAAGCCACATCAGATACGGTCTTTGTGACATTCGCTACCGCTAGCTCATACATGTTAACGGCTTGATTCTTCTGCCTCGACGTGAATACTTGGTGACCAGTCTGGTGGCGACAGCCATATCTAATCACGAGCTAGACATCCATTGTCCTTGGAAGCACGCCCTCCTTAGCCGCAAGGGAAACATGTGACCTTGAGTCTATCACCGGGTATTGTATACCTGGCGCCTTCCACGTCGAGGCCGTTGCAGCAGCTTCCTTGCGGGCGGTGTGCGAGAGATCCATTCGGGCTGTCTGGCTCGCCGTTGTCTGCCGCCGTCCATGGTCGCAATGTGTGGCCGCCCCGCAATGTCATTTGCCACTTCCATGCGATCAAGCCATCTGCAGGCCTGGAACTCTGTTGGCCTTTCTTGGGCAGACAAGTTTCAATGGCATGACCTAACATTACGGGCTGCTTTATCACAGAAAGCGGGCCGTTACCCCGACCCCGTATCGGGTCTCGCCCCTGACTCCGGCTCGCCCGCCCCGGCTGACTTGGAACGATTTGCGCCCAGGTTGTGCGTGGTGTATATCGGCCGTGCCGGATTTCAGGGTGCTGCTATTTGCCTTTTCGCGTAGTCCTGGAAATACCAATGTTTATGGTAGCAAAGGAGCATTCGAAGGGCTTATGCAATCCTGAGAATTGCAGGTGTACGTGGTGTGTCTATGCTAAAGAGCTGAGTTGCGACTTCATGCTCGTCAATGCTGCTGATGCTCAAGGATCTTTTATGCTTTAGCTCCCTTTGTACCAAGAACCGGTTATATATATATGCATATCAATATGTCATACACCGATGTAGATATGTGTTCTGCGCATGCGGCAATGCGCTTCTGAGCTTTTAATTTCTCCTCCTTTTGGCAGACAACAGCAAAGACACCGAGGTAAAGCGAAGGTGCGACCCAGATGTCATGGACAAGAGCATCATTAAACCCGGCTTTGAACAGCTTGAGGTGGTGCCGAAAGGTGGCTCGCGTAGAATACAGAAGAAGAAAAATAGACTGGAAAGAGCAAAGACAAGTGGCGAAGGCTGGTTTAACATGAAGGCACCTGAAATGACGGACGAAGTAAAACAGAACTTGGAAGTGCTCCAAATGAGGTCCGCAATTAACAAGAACAGAGTCTACAAAAAGAACGACATGCGGGTACTGCCAAAGTACTTTGCTATGGGAACTGTGGTAGAGCATGCAACAGACTTCTACAGCTCCAGAATTCCCAAGAAACAGCGCAGGAAAACATTGGTGGAGGAGTTAATGGCTGATGTCGAAGCGAAGAAGCAGCTCAAGAAGAAGGCCTCGAAACTGGCCGTCAAGAAGCAGCTCAAAGCCCAAAATCACTTCTCGAAGAAAAAGAAACCTTTCAAAAAGCGTGGTAAGAACACGGACTAGTGTCGCTTTTGCAAAGCCATGTTACCTGTGTCATTCAGCAAATATATCTCACGTCATGCAAAGCGACTTTTGAAGCCTGTCGTAACCTGGTGTGCTATCATTGAAGCCAATGACAGTGAGATAACCTTGAAGACGCCGCAACCCCAGACGTGCGTCGGGCTACGGCTTCACCTACTGCACGCGACCACTTGCCGACTTGGTAATCAGACCTTATGTGAGCTTGCGTCCCGTCCACGTATTAGGGGTGTGTCATAAGCAGATCTGCCAGGCGGCACTCCTGTAAAGGTGACATAACACTCGGATATTCACTTATTAAACGCAATCAATGAAGTGTATCCGTTCGATTTTGTTGACACTGTTGTGTATTTGGCAACTGGACGTAGTCACTTGTTCGTGAAATCGACGTGCCCTGAAGTCGACGTCCTAAGGTCTTAGTCCTAAAGTCCTGAAGTCCTAAAGCCCTAAAGTCGTAAACGCGTCCTGAAACATTCATAAAACCATGGAGCCACGCGTAATACTTGGGCACTTATCAGTTCGCGGAGATCAGGATCGTTATAGACCTGTGTGCTTTTTCTAACACTGTAGATAACTCGTTTCAAAGCGAACCAAACCACCATGTTGCGTTGTGCTCATCTAGTTGAACTATGATATCAAAATATCGATGGCGTTTCAATACAATCGGTGTCAGTTATCGATCAGTGCCATTTCTTTCTATTTCGTCAAACGCCAGCATGGTGTATAGCTAGGCTCTGGACACATGCTGGTAAACTTGCAGTTACGCAGTAATACTTTGGCAGTTACAACTTACAGAAACCATCGCCGCGAAAATGACTGGTTTGAAACCAAGACCACGCAGATGCATAATCTCACTCCGTAGGCCAGAATTTGGTGACAACATTAATTATCTCAGTCATCCGATGATTATCGATAAGTGCAGACAGCTTTTGTTTCAGTTGCAATTATAACAACACACATGGTGCATTTGAATGAATGGACTTTTTCAGGGCGCACGCCAAGCAGTGACCTGTCACACTCTGTCACGCTTATTGCGCGAGCCCTGACCCCATCATCTAACCGTGACATTCCAGGCCAGTGACAGCATTTAATGACGAGAGTTCAACGTCCCATAATGCTCGGCACGGCTTGCTCTGCCTCTGACGTCATCTTACCTTTAGCGTGACCGCCGCAGGCCTTCTCAGTCAGGGGCGAACAGCGCGTGATAAGAGCGACGCGAATCCACCCCGCCGTGGATGGGCGGATCGGAATTCCCGCGTCCCGTCCAAGTGAGCTATAGGGACGGGCGTGACAATAATATTGTGGTTTGGAAGCGAGACCAAAGCCCCACCCACATGCTGCAACATTCTCACCAAACAATGATAACAATAT